GTGTGCAACATGCCAAGGAAAGTCCTCCTCACTGTTGCTGCCAAGGGAATGGAGATACGTCATGACCGACATGGCCCCAGATCTTCACCCCAAGAAATGCACCTAAAACGTCCTAAACCAGCCAAAAACACCGTAAAATGGGGGCCCTGTAACGTTCCACACTCTAAATTTAGCTGTAGCTTTAGCAGCTAGCAGAACCCAAGTGTACACTGCATTGAGATGGCCCTGCGGGTATTGGAATTGCAAAGAAGGATTGATTTGTTTGTTCTGAGGATCAGTCCTTTAAATCTGAGGTCAACCCTCCATGACTCAAATGGCCGGTGCAAAAAAATTGTGTTGCTCCAGAAGGATGTGCGACTAGTTTCTGGGTACTGTCACTCGTTTAGTCTAGTCACATCAGCTAGATCCTGAACAATTGCTGCTGAGCCCCAGGGAGCGGGGTCCAAGTTTCGCCATGGAGAGGTCCCCAGTAGGGCCGGTGCGGGTAGAGGTAGGTTGCCGAAGCAAATCCATTGTTTTTCCTTTTTTGGCATTTCACACTATGAAATGCCAGAAATTTGCGAAGAAAAAATATGTAAATCTAATGGAAATCAAAGAAAACGAATGGTTTTGGAGAGGGTTTCCCGCATCCCATGATTTTTCCATTTATTCTCCATGTTTTTGCCTTTTGGCAGTGTAAAATGGGAAAAATGGAGAATCGATGGAACAAAGGTGATTCCCCAGGATTTTGATCCAAAGCATTTTTTTTGCATTTCACTCTGTAAAATCCAAAAAAAGTGGAAAATAAATGGACCCCAACAAATGCAAAAAACAAATGGACCTCCCAGAAAGAAATGCAAGAACAAATGCAAGAAAAATGGACCTCACGGCCAGCTACGCAAAAAGAAATGCAGAAACATGGACCTTCAAAATTGGACAGGAAATAGACCCAGGCAGCTAGAGTACCAAACAGTATTGATGATTATCTATTTGTCAGGTCTGCTGTGCCCGCCAAAAAATTCTTGTGCTCATTGATTCAACAGCTAGCGATTTCAAATGCCAGGTGCACCTACTGAGTTACAGCTCCATTTCAAAACAAAGGCTTGCCCAGGATCAATGCTTCACAATGCTTGTGCGTTGGATGGCTACCAATAACAGAAGAAACATCCCATTTTTGCTAGTCGCCATGCCATTCAGCAGCTAGCCCCTAAACCCTAAACCCTACCCTATAGGCCCTCAGAAGCCTTACGCCCTAAACCCTGAAGGCTTCAAACCCTAAACCCTCAAGGCCTTAAGCCTTAAATCCTAAACCCTAAAGGCCCTACACCCTAAAGCCTAAACCCCAAAGGCCTTAAACCCTAAACCCTATAGCCTTAAGCCCTAAATCCTACAGGCCCTAAACCCTGAACCCTAAACACTTGGATTCTAGTGATGATTGTCCTGCAATATTGAAAAAGTGGAGTCCATGACAAGCACCACCAATAATGTTCATGTGAATCGAGCTTGCAGTACTTTCCCATCACCACTGTTGGAAGTCCATTCTATCTGCCAAGGATGATTTTGAGGTCCATTTTACAAGTCCATCTATTTTGCATTTATTTCCCATTTAATCTTTTTGGTACTTTCCCAGTCACAGGCCACAAGGTGCCCACACAAGTTTCGTCAGTGCAGGGTGAGTAGACAACTAGGCCACTAGGTTGCTAAAGCGTCAAAGCAGCAGAATGCAGTAAATGATCGTTTAACGAGACCCCGCACCCTCGTAGAGCGCGGAAGCTCCAGCGGCGGTGGAAGCTCATTTCCATCAGAGCCCCCCTCCTGTGGCCGTCAAGTTTACAAGCAGCAGCAACAGCCTTACAAAGACGCGATGGTCCTTCAGAAGCGGCAGCGGCTGCGAGACGTAGCAGTTGGGCCCTGTGGTGCCAACGCCGTTGTTCGGAGTGGTCGGGCTTGTATTTGGAGTTGCTGGACCACCTGCCGCACCGAGCAGCTGCCAGCTCACTTGAAAGGATTTGTCTCAGCTGTCAGCAGCTCACTGCGAGCCAAAGGATGACCAACTTCAATGTGTTTTCCATTCAATACGCAATATACGCAATGCGTTGCTTGTGATGATGAATGAGAACAGACCCTGAACATGTTCTCTGGATTGCCTGAATCCGGCTGTTGCTTCGGCGTTACGGACACCGCTGTGGACACCAGCGGCAACGCTTGCACGGGGCCTGTACCTGACATTCACAACGCAAGCCCCCAGTACCAATACGGAATACGTGCCTTGCTCTTGTGCATGTTTCTTCATCTACGGTCTGCGGACACTTGCGGACACTCCTGCAAAACTGGGAGTCGCGCGGGGCAGCTGAGACAGCGTCGCCCGCCTCCTTGGCAGCCTCGGGACCGCACCAGCTAACATGAGCACGTCTCAAAAAAGAAGTTCTTAGTGCTCTCGCGGCCAACCTTGAGGCGCCAAAGACACATGACATGATTTCTTGCGGGCGCAGGGGAGGCAGACGAGGAGCAAGGCCCCTTGCGGCGAGGGTTCTGCTTCTGGGGATGGCGGAAGGCTGTTGATCCTTGGCTGCAGCTTCCACGCAACCTTAAGTTTTCTCAAGGCGGCTCTGCATTCAAGTAGCTGCTCTCTGACCGCTGCGCGGTAAAAGCGCAGCTCATTGGGCGTGGGGGTTGCTGCAAGATGCCTGAGCTTCACCTGCATTCCGATGCAAGAGCATGCAACGCACAATGCCCATCAACTCCGCACCCTTCATCATGTCAGCACAAAAGCACGCCTTCACGTTGCTGATGGCGCGGAGCCACAACATCTTCTCAGCACATGTTCTTGTGGAGAAGTGATGGTCGCCAAGGCTGAAGCAGCTGCAGTCAATGCCCACCCGCTCACTGACACCTCAGACTCTGTAGCTGGAAAGCTTCGCATATCGGTTTCAATGGAAAAACGTACAGACAATCTATTCACAACGCTTTGCGAATCACCTCTTTCTGCTCCAACGCATTTGCTGATAGAAAGATGGCGCGCGCAGGGCTGCGACCTCCAGTTTCTCCTCAACAACCAAGGTGCAGGTATTCGTGTCAATGGCAAGGTGAACGACTTGCACCTCGAATTGTCTTGGCATTCGTGAGGAAGGCTGGCCAGCCAATTCACCAAAACTTCAGAATGTGTGAATAAAAGCATTGGGTTGCAGCTGTACCTTTTCCCGGCATGCATGCTTTGTACGTTGACTGAAGCAAATTACACCCCACAGTGTGGCGCGATGATTTCCTGTTCAAAAATCATCACATCAGCTCAAAGCAAACCTCAATGGCTCTACATGTCAGAAACAAAATCTCCAACCACCGAGGTAATTGCAAGAGTGTGGTTGACCACGACCAACAACTAATTCTATGTAATGACAAACGATAAATACTGTACACCAGAATGCATGGCTAGTCAGACATTGTGGAAATTCAATTTGGTCTCTCAAGCACTGCGCGCCTTAAATCATTGCCACCGCGGGACTTTGCAGGCGTCATCCTCGTAGGCAGCAAAACCAGCAGTGTTGTCGCAGTGGGCGTGGAGCTCACCTGTGCTTGATCGGACGACTGTTAGGGGGAAGGCCATGCTGACCGGAAAGCTCAACAGGGCAGCTGTGTTCTTTTGACTGTAGCTTGGCTTTACACATGCCAGCAAGAAATTGTTGTCAACTGAAGTTGCCGATGCCAGGGCTGCATGCTGATCTTATCAAGCAGCCGTACACCAGCGATACGCCCTGGTCATCGTAGAGCAGCATGTACCCTGCACAGACATGATGGTGCAGCAAAGTAGGCTTTGCGCAGCCCTTGTTTGCCAAACGACATGCCTGCTGATGGCAACAGGCATTTCAGATTCTCTAGATCAAGTTATGATTTTGCGTTCACCGATGCTATCAGACAGTCGGGGGTATGCCTGTCAGTGGCTGCTGTCATGCCGCTCTAGCGCTTAATGAAGACATCCTGGACAGGCCCACTGACTGCTTAACAAGCAGCAACTGGTAGATAGTGCAAGGAAACACGCCCAAACAGGTGAGAGGCCTAAGGGCCCAAGGTGAGGTGATGCTGGTGCCTCTCCTACTCTCAAATATGCCACTGTCGTGGGCAAGTGTTTGGATATCCGCGTCAGACAGTCCTGGAGCAAAGGCTGCATGACACGAAGTGTTGTTGATGGAGGGAATCCTGCACCACCTTCAGCCCGTTGACTCTTTAGACTTACAGCCTAGGTGCTACAGGATTTCCCCGTAACAATAGCAATAATTTAGTGGACTCAGGGAGCAGCTGAATTTTGGGCTCGGGCGTTAAGACTAGAGCTCCCGTCTATCAACGTCTACTACCGAGCTGCGGAGCTACGTTGCTTGGGCTGTGCCACGGGCCAAACTAAATTCTGGCCTGCTAGGAGCCGGGTAGATGTCCAGCTTGCTCCAGGCAACGGGAAGACAGCCAACTGAAACGAAGGGAAAAGAGACTGCGTCAGGATCCGCAAAGCTCGCGACACCTCAGAACTCACAAGCGTTATAACAATCCTGGTCTCAGAGCACAGCTACTGTCTGGCGCGTCATGAAAGTTTGCATGATTGCCTTAGCGCTGGATTTGCAAGATCTACAACATGTCACATGGACATGCTATCCTTAGTCCTGAAGCCCTAAACTTCTCATAACGACTTCTACACCTTCAAATGGCAGGATCTTTGACTGTCCCAGGCTCATCGGCCACCCACCGCGCACGTTCCGTGTCAGCGCTGGGGCCGTGTGTGGCAAAAAAATGGGTGATGCCATGGTGGAACACCGAAACCTGTCGTGATCATGGGTGGTTGATGCTGCACTACTTTGGCTGCACCCCCATCCCGGACAAAAGCACTACCTGTGGCACGTAGCAACCATGGCAGGCCAAGCCTTGAAAAGACGTAACCACGGCTGCGACTGATCGGCCTGTTGCAAGATGCTGCCTAAAGGAAATCCAGCATCAATCTATGCTACGAGTGTTCCACACTGAACCAGAAACCAGGTTTGATTCTCGTGGATTGAAAAGGACCTGGGTCTGAGATTTCCATCATTTTGAGGGAGTTAAAATTAAAAGGGGCCATGCCTGGATCGTGTGAAGCCTACAGGCTTGTACCAGGGAAAATGGCGACCACGCTATACTCATAGCTGGATGGTTGTCATCCGGGTATCCTGGGCACAGACAGGAAGAAGCTGCAAATTGCAAGACAAGAGCGGTTGAACAGCCCGGCCTGAGGACAACGCGTTGCGTCTGGGTGTTGCAGGCAAGAGTCTTATCGAGAACCCATTTGAATGGATAGACAGGATGACCTTTTCAAAGCTCTTGCCATCCTCTTGGCACAAATGCCAGACCTGTCAAAGTAGGCAAAGCTGCGCAGTAGCGACCCAAAGAAGCTACGACCACACTGACCACACGTTCAAGTTGCGGCCTCGCCCGACCTCATCGGCGGCTCAGTCAATGGCCTCACACTGCGCACTACATGTCCATGTAAAAAAATATATCTGCTTCGAACAGCATTTTGGTTTGCTGTTGTAAAATCGTATGTAACGTGTACCGCTGGCGCGGTCCTTGTTATCCCGTGTAAACGGCCTCGGCCTACCCCCTCTGAAGGCTTTCCTGAACTTGCTCTGCAATGTCAGGACGGCACAATCTATGGCCTGTTCTGACTCTAGTGCAGAAGGGGTACAAATCCATCTCAGCGGAGTAGGTTATCAATCCTCGGCACGACAAGAACTAATCTCGGACATCTGCAAATGAGAGGCCTAATCCTACGAGTTTTAATGGGCTCATAACGGCTTTCGGCATGCCATAAGGCTGCGACCCTCTCGAGGTCGACTCGGCAGCTGCGGGACTTCTTCCGGAGGCAGGGGCTCCTACATGCTCTGGCTTCATGCTGTGTGAGAGAATCCTGCTTTAGCTTGCTTCCTCCGGCGGCTCTCCGCACAGGAAGTACTCCACATCCGTCTCACCAGGCATGTGCGGCTGCACCTTCCCATCTTCACCTCACAAGATCCCACCCCAACATACCCTGCGCTGCCATTCCGCACGTGGGGTGTTTCGTGTTTGCAACTGGTAGGCACCCACCAAGAAAACACGACTATTGCCAAGCGCCGATGTTGCTCTGCTATGCCAACTCACGGTTCGCAGCATCTTCAAAACAAGATGAGCGCTGCCGCCCTGAGGCTGCCGCCCTTTTTGTTTTCACCTTATCTACTGAGTCTGGTGAGACACATGGCTCACCAAGAACCATAGTTTGAATCGCTGGCATTCCAGCGTCAAAGCCCCGCTGAGCTTCTGGCCTTGCTTGCATCTGCAGAGCGTGTTGATGACGGTCGCTTCTATGTCTGTCATTGGCTACACCATGGCGAAACGCTTGGCGGTAGATGGGCTACCAGGACTCTCGGTCTTGTGTCAATGCCACGCTGGCTTGTAAGGCCAACATCATCAAGAATCCCTAGGATTGTCTCCGATTCCTTCGAGGCCGAATTGTAGTCGTGAGGACTTGAGGCCAAGCAATTTGACCATCCACGTTTAGCAAGCTGGCTGCCCTGTGTTACAGAAACTGCTACTGAGGGTTGTTATTTCAGCATCTGAGACTGGGCCTGCTCTTTGATCACTTGAGCAACCGCGCATGGCAAGGTTCGATATCTCACTGAATGCTAAACTAGCACTTCACAAACCACACATTGACTTCTATTGATGGGAAGGCTTCTCCACCCACGTGGATAACTTGAGCAAGGGCTATCAAGCAGGTTCAGCCGTGTTGATGAGTACCGCATACCCCGGGTGTATGCCCCAGCAGCTTTGCATCCAGAAGAAACATGAGCCCTATATGATATGAGTACCTAATTGACTAGTGTCTCACAACCTCCTTGCTTGTGACATGCAACAGATGCTAGGGACTCATGCAGGACACGCATAGCGACTTTATTATCGCATGCTCGGCACCCCCTGCAGGGCTCCCAGAAGGCCGAAGTCTTCCTCTGGGCTGCGGAACTCCAACGTGTGCTTCACCAGTCCTCATTCACAGCCATTGGGTCAACTTGCTGGCTCATTCTTGTGAAGCCTAAGCTGGTAAAGGAATCCCTTGGCCACCTGCCCTCTGACAATTAAGCTGCGGCCAAGCAGCTGCCATTCCATGGATCCAGCTCGTACACAGAATTGAAGTCCACAATCCGTTCTGATGCAGATGTATCAGCACCTGCACTGTCTGAGGCCCATTCCTCGGCTTGGCCGAGGAAACTGCTTCCTGCCTGGAAGAGGTCTGTCTTACCCCATGGGACACTGTCCTGAAAATTTTGAAGGGCTCCTCTTGCTGCTTGGACAGCGCTACGGGCCTGCTCTTTGCTCAGAACATCTCTGGGCACCATGACGAGCCGCCAGCGTACACGCAGGTACAGGCCGGAATGAACCACATTAGTGACCTCACTCTTCGCAGAGGTGCTAATTAGATCCACGCCTTGTCGAAAATTGTCCCAGAATTGGCGGTACTGTGCCAAACCAATGAAGCGCAGACCATTAACCTGCGCAATCTCGAAGGAGATCCCTGGATCAGCCACGGAAACGCCTGGCGCAATTCCAGGCAGAAGCGAGTGATCACTGCGGACAGTGTCAATTGCTTGACCGACGTTAGCCGCAAAGTTCGGATCAGCCTGCGCGTGACGTGCGACCCGTTGTGGCTGCAAGCTCCACAGCCTCCAAAACATGATCGCATTGTGAAGGTGTTCGCGGTTACCGGCCATGGGTGCCACTTGCCTGGGCCGGACTGCGCGAGGTGAGGCCGGTGATCGGTGCACTCTCGTGCTGTCTGAGGGCCCATCCGGCTCCGTGAAGTGTGTCGTCCTGGTCGTTGCAACAGCTTTGCTCATCTTGATCGGATTTCGGCGTTTACTGAAACTTGGGTTGGGCTTCCCAATGGCAGCTTCGCCCACAGTCCGTCGACCACCCCTCTGCAGGGGCTTTCCTGAAGGCCGTGGGCGTTTACTGAAACTTGGGTTGGGCTTCCCAATGGCAGCTTTGCCCACAATCCGTCGACCACCCCTCTGCAGGGGCGTTCCTGAAGGCCGTGGGCGTGCTGCAGTTTGGCGTGTTGATGTCAAATGGTGCGCTGATGGCGGGCGTGCCCGACTTGTCCGCGGACTCTGGCTGCTAGCATGTGTGGGTGATCTGCTCCTGACACACCGTGTAGTGCTTGTGCGACTGGAAGAAAGGCTCGCAACTGGAGTATTCGCAAGCCAGATCAAACTCACCAGGGCAAGCCCAACGAAGCTGGGCAGCTTCCTTGCCATTAGCAGCAGTCGCTAGCAGCTGCCGAGGCTGCAAAAAAGGGGCGGTGCGGCTGCGTGCACTACCTGCTCTGCAAAACAGCGTGCAAATTCATCTCCTAATCATTCTAAGCACTTTCTGCAGAGTTGCCAGGTTGACTCAAAAGCGTGGTCACCAGTTGGAAGCTTCTCAGTCCCGCTTGATACATGGTTCACACTCGGATGCTATGTCTAGAAGTGTTCCAAATATCACAAGCTTCCGACACCCGTTGTGAAAGTTGACCTTGAGCGAGAATCCTCCGGCAAGCCTGCATGCAATGCATTGCAACCCTGCAATGCCTTCTGCAAAATTTCACATCGCCTTCTGAGTGAGAAGCGTCCGACACAGTCAGAGCAAACTTACCTTCTCTCCCACCCCCTCAAACCGCACCCTGGCCCGACGTGGCGCAGTGGTCCAATCGTTGGAGTAGATGCATTTGGGGTTTCAGCTTAGCCAAGCCGTCAGGCTGCCTTTGAGAACCTCTACGTCTATGACTCCAGACATGATGCAGGGCCCAGCCTCCAGGATCCCTCCAAAAGCCTCTCAAAGCAGCTCGCCGAACCTCTTGAACTAGAAAGCCATCGTGCTATTTCCACAAGTCAGAATCATAATATGGCTTCATCTGCAAGCAACCCTGTGGACCCTGCTCCCTGTGTCTTGACCTTACTCCGTTTGCAGATTTGAGCTCATTTGATGAATGACAAGGCACATCTAATATCATCCAAACACAAGAAAACTACATTAGCCTTTTTCTCACAGGTCTCATCAGGGAGCGCAGGATAAGTTGCTTGCACTGCTTAATTGATGGAGGACAGCTGAAGCTGCTATCCGAAAATCAGCCAGCTTAAAATGTTGGGTCTGAAAATGTTGGGCATGACTGGCTGGAGGACCCAAGTGGTCCCAGCAAAGCCACTTGCAAACTGAGCAATTGCCATGGTGGAAGAGAAGTGCACACATGCCGCCATACTACGCAGGGGCACTTTGAAAGGAAGCGCAGATGTTGGGCTTGCAGCTCAGTGCTGCTGCAGCTGCACATCGCACTCTCTGGAAAAGTCACCATTCTCGGAATAGTGGAAGGCGCTGGAGTCGCATCAGGTCGAAGTCCTGCGAGGCACGCGCAAGGCTGTATGAATCAGAATCGCGTGTTTTTACTTAGCCAACAGCAGCGAAGCATTTTTTGAGATGCCCACGTTCCAATCCAATCGCGGTCTCCCCTGGCAGATCTTTTGCAGCTGGCGAGATGAACAACCGAAAGAGGACTCCCTGTATATGTTCTTGCCAGAGTGGAAGGCAAGAAGCGGGATTGTACGAAAACGGCACGATGCCCTTGACTTGCACAAGATTTAAACTTCCTATCCATCCCAAGAACATCACTCGGCTGCCTCAGCTTCATCCTCGCCGAATCGTTGGAGCGAGCTGAGAGGCTGGAAGCCTTCAGCAATGTACGCAGCTCTTGTCAAGGCCCATTTGGCTTTCTCTGTAAACGTAGGCTGAGAAGATACCTTTGAAGAAAGTCGCCAACAAAGTAGCCAAATGCAATCATGTGGAAATGTCAGTGGATCCAAGAGCCATGCCATGACTTTAAATTGCTGCCGTGGCACATCACTGTGCATCTTTGGCACTTCGCATAAACTGGCCTGGTGTTTTTTGAGGACTTGGGCCCTGCAAGCCGACTGACAGAACCACTACGCGCACTTGCAGCTGACTACATTGATGCCGCTAAGCAATGTAGGTTGGATTTGACTGGATTCAATGTTGAATGCTATCTGCTTCTGATATCTGGCCTCGACAGGCACCCGCTTCGCTGCGGCAGCAATTCTGCGGCAATGCTCCTGCAAGGGGGTCTCACTGCAACACCAAGCAAGTGTAAACAATGCTGCGCATTGCATTGCTACCAGGTTTGGATCCCAGCTGAAAACGGAGCATCATCGGTTTGGCTACCAACCTCTCCTGAATGCGACGTCTCGTTTGGGGCAACACGCGGTTTGCCAGATCCTTCAGGCTCCAGGCAGGCGGTTCAACAAGTGAAGCAGACGCCGAATAAACGGTTTGACTACTTCCTCGGGGGCAATTTGATTAGGCTTCCGCGCCCAGCAAACCTACACCCATGCAGCGCACCCTCTGAACTACGAGCAGTTGGTTCAGAACCTCCTTTGAGAGGTCGTCCAGCTCACCGACAACATCAACCGTGGCTAGATGAGCTCCACAGAACCTTGTTTCAGGCAAAGTCAAAGGCGGCAAGTTTCGCAAAGGAAGACTGGTGATGGCTGAGCTTAAGGAAAGAGGTTTGGTAAAGTCGTTCGAAGCAAACGTTCAACCATACTCGCGAAGGCGGAACTTTGAGAGACTGCTGTTGTCATACATAGTACTCCATGCTGCTGGCTACATGTGGCTGCATTACTTATTTTTTGTCAGGGTGATGCAGACCTAATTCTTGTGCCATGTGCGTCATCACGAGGCCCCAGCTGGACGGAGCTTTCCAACGACGTTGCCTGATGGCCAAAGATGCCCATGCCAGCAGCCGGACCACCTCTGCCAATTGCTCTTTTGCCCAAGATGGAAACCACCCACTCTCTGAGTGAACAAGTTTCCCATCAGGCTCAGACCCAGCCTTGCGTTCTGGTGATGAAGACCTGCTTGTCCTCGGCTGCTGGCCCGATGACTTGTTGTCCATTTCATCCCTTAGCGTACTCCATCATTCAAAGCCAACAAATTCTAAGCAAAACCTTGGATAACATACTGGATCTCTGCCACCCAATACAAGGTGTGAACAGTCTCCTGATTTCCCATGAGGACCATTCCTTCGGGCGGCTTCTCAATAGTCGGAAGGCTTTGCGAAGGCCACTGCTAAAGCGTGCTACAGGGTATCTTGCCCTTACATCTGAAGATCGACGACATCGACAGAAGTTTCGTGAGATGTGCTGCCAGTGTGTCTCTGAGAAGGCCATAGGATGCATATCGCCGCGCAAGGTTCCGCACTCCAGGAACCTGATTACTGGTGCGCAAATACTACATGCTGCTCTTGGTTGGTTGCTCAATGCTGTGCATTGAGGCCCTGGCACGTTCCACAACGTCCACAGCACGGTTCAGAATCCAATGGCCTGCTATGCTCGCAACGTCGATTGAACCAGGCGCTTCTAGCCCACTCCTGGAAGCTTGCGGAATGCAAAGCCGCTGCTCAGCACAGATTCCTGCACGCACCCAATTCAGGCTCGTAGATGCTTCTTCTGGGGCGGCAGAACTCAAATCAACCGTTTGCCCACTCTATTTCTTCGAGAACATCAGAGGTCCACTGCCAAAAACTAAGTATTCGACGGGTTGGACTATAAACTGTGTGATTTTGCGTTGGGGGCAGAATGTCCAGGCTTTACACGCTACGGTAGGGAGTGCAGCCTCCAGGCATACCAGCGCTGCAACATAGTGGACCCGCAGAGTCCTGAAAGCCTTTGAGCTGCGACGGCACGTCAAACCAGAACACCGGATGCACGAAGACCAGGAACCTGGTCGCAAGGCTGACTGCTGAATTCCTCACATATGCAACTCCAAAGGTCACCAGACAGAGTCCTGTCACAGCAAAAGAAACCCTAAAGGTAACAAAGCGGGGGCCACTGGCACTTCTCGACGAGCCCCTGCAGCTGGCGAACCTCTTCGCTTGGCTCAGCCTCTCACTCAAGACTGCAAGTTCTACACCCCGACTCACCCCGACCGGGGCTGAGCTTCAAGCAGCAGAAGAGCCCTCTTTGCTAGCTGCTAGGTCCTGCTGCCAGAATATGTTTAAAACAAGAGCTCATGGCTGCGCAACACCCGATGTGTCCTGCGCGCTGTACAACCTCAAGCCACAAGCAATCTGTCTCGCTGCCGTGCACCTGCCAAATGCTTGACCAAGGCACCCAAGCTGCCCAAAAGCATCAGGGCTTCCAAGCTCTACACGACCTGCTAGCAGCTAGCAAATGGATTTCAACGATTTGGGTCTGCTTTTACAACGCCTGGACACTGCTGAAAGGCTCGGACAGACTTCCAAACCAAGCGCCTCCAAGCCCTGCTCCCAGACCTGCTTTCTGCATGGTGTTAACATCAAATACCATCAACAACATCCACCGTCACCAGCACATTCAATGGTCTCTGGATGATGGCCTCTGCCAAGGCTCGGCACATCGACGGCCTTAGGCAAGGCTAGGCGAGCCTAGACAACTGCCAGTCCCGTTCTCTTTCAACTCCGAGACCGGTTCCCACGAGATGGATGACAGAGCACCAGAAGCACAGACGGGCCCTGGCTGGGTCTGTAGTACATGAACCTTAGCCATCTCCGTCGCTAGCCTAGCAATTGGATTTGAGAAAAATCATTCCATGCTATTTGAGGGTCAGGCTCCTTCCCACTTGAGGTCTTCAGCGACAGTGCGTT